GGGACTGGAGCCATTTCAGGATGATCCAGAGGACGTTTTAACAGAAAGGAAGAGGGCATTGCTGCCACTGACCTGTTGCTGCTAGCAGGGACTGGGAACATAGGGACTGGGCATTTAACTGGCAGCCTAGACGACTGCATGCAGACTTTACCTACGTGCACCACAGTAAAGACTGAGCCCCAATGCTAACAGGCTGTAGAACTAGAGCAAAGGACTGTCTGCTGCTCTACCAAGCTGGTCTAAAAAGACTTCATCCACTGCCTATAGTAAGGGTACCAATGCAGCAAGACCCAGGTTTTAGCATAGTCATTCCTTTAGTACACTGGTTGCAGGAAAGTTATTACAACCCTGTTCTTTAATGCAGACATATTCACTCACTTGCTGGGGTGGGGGGGAGCAGGGGAGCACACAGGGGGGCCTGTGCAGCAAAAAGAAGAGGAACCTAGATAGAAGGGGCTGCATTTATTGAAACCAATCCCCTTTCTTTCTGTAGCAGCTGCAAAAGAGAAGGGGGATCAGATCCAGTAAATTTCACCCCGGCTCCTTTCCAGGTTCCTTAAAACCTAATGTGACAGGAAGGCCGCATGGGCTCCCTGGACCATGGGCAGGGTCACCATCGTGACCCTTGTGACCCCTGAAGCTACACCCATGACTCTAAGACTTTGGAGGAGATTTACTAAAACTGGAGCACTCAAACTCTGATGCAGCTGTGTATCAATTAAGCTTTGACAACAAAACCTGGAACCTGATCAGTTTCTTTGCAGAGCTATACCAGCTTTTCCACGCTCTAGTTTTAGTAAATTTCCCCCAATATACTCCGTTATAAAAAAAAAATGCATCCTAAAAGGATTAAAGATAATTCCTTTGTTATAATAGGCTTTGTAGCATGAAATGTTCTTTAGGTTTTTTTGTTGTTTTTTAAATCCTACAAATTGCACATATGGATGTATTGTAATAACTTACTGTAAGATATAAGTAGGTCGTTGACCTATATACAGTCATGGCCGAAATTGTTGGCACCCTTGATATTTCTCCAGGAAATCATGTATTTCTCACGAAACGTATTGCATTAACACATGTTTTGCTATACACATGTTTATTCCCTTTGTGTGTATTGGGACAAAACAAAAAAAGGGAGGAAAGAAAGCAAATTCGACATAATGTCACACAAACCTCCAAAAATGGGCTGGACAAAAGTATTGGCACCCTTTCACAACTGCGGATAAATAAGAATGTTACAAGCATGTGATGCTCCTGTAAACTCACCTGGGGCAAGTAACAGGTGTGGGCAATATAGAAATCACACCTGAAAGCAGATAAAAAGGAGAGACGTTCACTTAACCTTTGCATTGTGTGTCTGTCTGTGCCACACTAAGCATGGACAACAGAAAGAGGAGACGAGAACTGTCTGAGGACCTGAGAACCAAAATTGTGGCAAAATATCAACAATCTCAAGGTTACAAGTCCATCTCCAGAGAACTAGATTTGCCTTTGTCCACAGTGCGCAACATTATCAAGAAGTTTGCAACCCATGGCACTGTAGCTAATCTCCCTGGTCGTGGACGGATGAGGAAAATTGATGAAAGATTGCAACGCAGAATAGTCCGGATGGTGGATAAGCAGCCCCAAACATGTTCCAAAGACATTCAAGCTGTCCTGCAGGCTCAGGGAGCATCAGTGTCAGCGCGAACTATCCGTCGACATTTAAATGAAATGAAACGCTATGGCAGGAGACCCAGGAGGACCCCACTGCTGACACAGAGACATAAAAAAGCAAGACTACAGTTTGCCAAAATGTACTTGAGTAAGCCAAAAGCCTTCTGGGAAAACGTCTTGTGGACAGATGAGACCAAGATAGAGCTTTTCGGTAAAGCACATCATTCTACTGTTTACCGAAAACGGAATGAGGCCTACAAAGAACAAAACACAGTACCTACGGTAAAATATGGTGGAGGTTCAATGATGTTTTGGGGTTGTTTTGCTGCCTCTGGCACTGGGTGCCTTGACTGTGTGCAAGGCATCATGAAATCTGAGGATTACCAAAGGATTTTGGGTCGCACTGTAGGGCCCAGTGTCAGAAAGCTGGGTTTGCGTCCAAGATCCTGGGTCTTCCAGCAGGACAATGACCCCAAACATACGTCAAAAAGCACTCAGAAATGGATGGCAAAGAAGCGCTGGAGAGAGTTCTGAAGTGGCCAGCAATGAGCCCAGATCTAAATCCCATTGAACACCTGTGGAGAGATCTTAAAATTGCTGTTGGGAAAAGGGTGTCCTTCCAATAAGAGAGACCTGGAGCTGTTTGCAAAGGAAGAGTGGTCCAAAATTCCGGGTGAGAGGTGTCAGAAGCTTATTGATGGTTATAGGAAGCGACTGATTTCAGTTATGTTTTCCAAAGGGTGTGCAACCAAATATTAAGTTAAGGGTGCCAATACTTTTGTCCAGCCCATTTTTGGGGTTTTTGTGTGACATTATGTCATATTTGCTTTTCTGCCTCTGTTTTATATTTGTTCCAATACATACAAAGGGAATAAACATGTGTATAGCAAAACATGTGTTAATGCAATACCTTTTTTGTGTGAAATACTTGATTTTCAGGAAAAATATCAAGGGTGCCAACAATTTCGGCCATGACTGTATACAGATTGTGGAAGCTTGTTTCCCTATTGCCTGACAGGCATGTTTCATTCATATGTCTGTACTTTCATCAAATTTTCTATGTTAAATCCACTATATGATCACTGTTCTTGTTATGTTAACCTCACTACACAGACAAGCTTTACCAGAGGTGGGCTGGTGACCTGAGTATACAAACAGTGGTAGTGTGCCTATTGACTTACAGGGTTCCAGCCAAGTGCAACGCCAACTCAAAGAAGATTGAAAATCCAGAGTTTCTGTCTTATGTCATTAAAGAAGAATTAAAGACAAAACATTTTTTTTTCATTTTGAATAGGTGGAGGGTTTTGGGCTCATGCACAGGCACACAGTTTATTTTTTCCTCTGAATACCTTTTACTCCTGGCAGGAAAAAGCAGCTTAAAAAAATGCTCCTAAAGCTGTGTATTGAACACATGTTTAGACAAGTTTAGGTGCATCAAGTGTTTCAGCACTTATGGATTCCATTGGCCAGAATATTAATTTATTCTGGCCATTGGAATGAATGTTCAAGTGCTAAATGCGTCCAGGCAGTTAGACATGTCAAGCTTTTTTCTACCCAAAATATCCTCTCTTAAAATTCTGATGATGTTTTTTGTTTTTTTTTTATCCTGTAAATGCTGTTCTACTATGCTTGTAAACATCCATGTGTGCTACATAAGCTAACATAGAGGTGCTTTAATGCTTTAAGGCAGTAAAAAAAAAAAAAACGTCTGTAAAAGCGTCGTTTTTTTTAGCCCAGTGTGCATGAGCCCTCAAAATCCTGTAAGTTTTTTTTATTCAAGGAGGGGTTGAGAGATTATTTTACTTTCACTCTGGTGGTGATAACAGTTAACAGGACAAACTACAACCACATATGCTTTCGATTGATGCATAAAATAGCGGGTTACATATGTAAATTGCCCTTGCTCATTGTTTCCTACATTTCCCACACATACTGAACATGCCCTTGAGTTGCCACCGCAGGAAAATCCCTGAGCAATACAAAGCCCTCGGCCCACACCCTGTGTATATCAAGTATATATCTGTCAGGAGTGTGCAATGTCAGTGAACCAAATGCAGTGTCTCCTGCGCTCCGGGACCCAGGCCGTGGTGAGTAGATGGAATCAAACTCCAAAAAGGAAGGGGACCACCGGAATAGACAAGGTCGTGCAGCTCCACACCAAGGCTGGGGAAGCCCAAACAAAACTGTGAAGAAGAACAACAAAAGAGAAGCGCACCAACCTTGCGCATTACCTCAGTAACCAAAATTTATTAAATAAAAGAATGGTACTCACAAACAGCGAATAAAAACAAGCATGTAAGTCCTCAAAGGGACTTTAGAGGCAAGATGCCAATGCGAATCCCATCATGGAGGAAGCCACTCAGTACAGCTGACGCGTTTTCGAAGGACATGCCTTCTTCCTCAGAGCTCTGAGGAAGAAGGCATGTCCTTCGAAACGCGTCAGCTGTACTGAGTGGCTTCCTCCATGATGGGATTCGCATTGGCATCTTGGCGCAAGGTTGGTGCGCTTCTCTTTTGTTGTTCTTCTTCACAGTGTGCAATGTTCCTGTTCCATGGCAGATGCTGGTCTCATTCTGCCATCCTGGTTTTGGCTGAGCTGCAGTCTCCCTGTCTAACTCTCCACCTGCAGGGTGATTGATTTGGACACAGCCTCTGGGTGGAGACCAAACCTGTTTTAACCCTGCAAAGCCCTCAGTGTAATGCTTGTGATAGTGTTTGCAACATGTGCTTCAAGCTTCCAATTTTCCTGTGTTGTTCTTGTGCCTTGACCTTCATCTTTGCCCGAGGCCTGCCCTGCTTGCTTGTTTAGATGCCCTTGTTGATGACCTTGGATCGGAGTTTGACTTCTCTCAGAACTCTGCCTGCCTCCTGACCATGGTTTTGACCTTGACTACTCTTTGAACACTGCCTGCTGTGATCTTTGACTATCAATGGACCACTCTGCCTGTCCACCAACCACAAGTACCTGTTCAACATGCTTAGTTCACGCCTCTCACGGTAGGGTAGTCAGGTACTATAGCATTGTGTATAAAACCTGGGAGGAACTGAGTACTGGTAGGCCTGCTTGCCTTATGGTAAATGGAGCTGCTATCAGTAAAGAACACAGAAGTCAGCTATAATGCCTGACCACCATGCTAGGGGAAGGTATGGCAATCTGCAAAAGAAAGTAAAAGCTTCATCTAGAGCAGTGGCTCTCAACCTTCCTAATGCCGCGACCCTTTAATACAGTTCCAAATGTTGTGGTGACCCCCAACCATAAAATTATTTTCGTTGCTACTTCATAACTGTAATTTTGCTATTATTATGAATCGCAATGTAAATATTTGATATGTAGGATCAGGGGTGGACTGATAACTCATGGGGCCCCCGGGCAATAGGGGATCATGGGGCCCCTGTGTCCTTGCCCAAACTCGAAAAAGCCTATGAAAAAGGTACCAGGGGCATCTCATGGGGCCCCCTACTGACCCCAGGCCCACGGGCAGTGCCCGAGTTTCCAAATGGTCAGTCCGCCCCTGTGCAGGATGTATTTTCAATAGTTCCTTCTGTGATTGTACGAGAACATTTTTGTGCCTGTCCCTTTGGATATTTCGCATGAACTGTCATGACCAGCCCTCGACAGCAGAGTACTAACGATCAGATTATCACAAAGCATTTTTTTTTTTTTGGCACCAGAATTTTCATTTTGGTGCACCACTACCAATAACACGATCAATTGATCAGTCACAGACGGGAAAGTGGGTTTTGATCGATATTTGGAAAATACAATCTCAGATTATCGACCACACCTCTGTTTTTCACCATGCAATCTCATAAATTTATGGAAATATGGTACAATTGATGGAAAAAGCATCTCAATGCGGCCAATTGATGCAAAATGTTTGATCATTTTGAACCCTGGTCAATTGACTGAAGGAATTTGATGGGAACGGAAGATAATCTGATTGCCAATTGGATATGATAGTAAAATTGAAGTGTGTATGGCCAGTATTCCCCCCCTTCCCCCCCTTCCCCCCAGGGATATCAGCCGTCTCCCATACCAAGTCATCTGTCTGAGAAGTGCTGTGAGGAGAAGCCTTCGTGGGAGGTGAGCAGCTGTAGGGCCAGACCAGGGCCCTCGTCGGAGACAAAGGGGGGCCCGGCTCACATCTATCCAGTTGTTGTGAGCAGCTGCCCGCCTGGGGAAAAATGCAACAGGTGCAAGGGCAGCCAATGGGCGGCAGCGGGGGACCTCTGACCCGCTCCTTGCAAGGGAGGAGCCTCCAGCCTGGCTGGCCACTCATAACGCACAGGGAAGAGGGAGCAGGACAGTCAGTGTGCTGGTGTTAGTTCAGCGTGAGAGGCTTGCAGCAAGCCGGGAGTGCGGGACACCCTGCCGAGCCCCTCCGGCCGCCCTCACCACTACCTCATAGAGTCTATCTGCATGTGGGCGAACCCGCCTGGAGACGGATAGAGGAGTAGTGTCTCGGTTCCCAAGACCATCGAAAATATGTGTTTTCCGATGGTCTTAGGCGACCCCTGTGAAAGGATCATTCGACCCCCAAAGGGGTCGTGACCCACAGGTTGAGAACCGCTGATCTAGAGTCTCCGACCATTGGCCACGCCCCTATGATGAGTTTCACCCTGACTGGGGCTTAATTGTACAGGTGGCTGCTTACAGAGGCATGAATCCTTTTGGTTTTGGGGGATAAAAAGAACCACACATGTGAAAAGGTTCTGAAGTTGAAGAAAAATGCGGATAAATCATCTAAAAGGCATTAGACATTCATTACTGGAGCAGAAACAAACATATAATTTTGCAGACTGTGAAGGTGTCAAATTGTCTTCTGGGACTTAGATGCCCATTTATGTTAGATGTGGGTTGGGAAGTTTCTGGGACCCCCCCCCCCATTGTCACTATATGTGGATACTGCTCATTTCTAAGGCAGGTGAATAGAGGTAGAAACTGATAAATATAGCAAGTAAGAAACTTTTTAATATACCATATCAGATATAAAATAATGCCCCTTGGGTCCCACTTGCAAAATGTTATGTTTTAATACTGCACATTTCCTTTTATGTTTAAAATACATTTATGTATAATCCATGTGCACAGGTTAATGTCAAATGAATGAATTGTAGAAATGTACTAAAAAGAGTTTATTTATCTGGTTTTCCTCCCACACAATGCTCTTTGATCAGTAAGTTACAGCATTATTCTCTGATAGAACAGATTTGTAGCATCAAAGGGAGATGTGGTAGAGATTATCTGCAGGTGTCATTCAAGATGCAGTTTAACAGTGAAAGTGTTCATTTAACAGTGACAGTTTCCTTTATAGTGGGCCCTGCTTGTTTCTACAACCAACAAAAAACACAATCTAGTGAAAACCTTCACCCTACCTACATGCTGCTGCAAAAACACTAAACTTTGCAATTTACCCCCAGATTCAACCAAAAGTTGGGGAAAGCAACAAACAAGTGAGTGCCATAGCACCCTTATGCACCCATTCTGACAGTTATAGCAGTCTTAGATATTCACTCATGTTCCCAGGTATCAAGTGGGATGTTTCATCTCTCCCTGATACAAAGGGAAAATTCTGTCATGAATCTATTGTCACCATCCAAGAGTGGACCCAAAATGAACCAAAATGAGCAAGCTCACTTTTTGTCACATTTCCCGATCATGTCTGGATCCACTACACTGTAGGCATAGGTATAAGGGGTAAGCTTAAGGGCATCAGCTGGTTGCCCTTCCACAAGGTTTGACATGTGTAATTGACACAGGCAAAGCTGCCATTTGTGTACAGCACATACGTACATACTTGTGCTGTACACCAAAGCGTCTTTCGCTCCCCATTTTCTAAAGATGCCATTACATTTAGTAACAGGGGCAGACTGAGCATTTGGAAACTCGGGCACTGCCCGAGGGCCTGGGGTCAGTAGGGGGCCCCATGAGATGCCCCTGGTACCTTTTTCATAGGCTTTTTTGAGTTTGGGCAAGGACACAGGGGCCCCATGATCCCCTATTGCCCGGGGGCCCCATGAGTTGTCAGTCCGCCCCTGTTTAGTAAATTGCCTTTATTAAAAAACAAGCTATGTCAGGCCTAATGTGAGCATCAGAGGTAATTTTGTTTTCTTGTAAGACCATATTGCAGCTAATTTGGGCAGAGGCGGCAATGCAACTTGGGTACTAACCTAAAAAAGTCTTTAGGTCCACCACTTTGAGGACATACTGGAATGGTGGTAGAAAAAAGTCAAAGTGATCCATCGAGTCTGCTCCACTTGTAAGATAAAGCCACCAGTCTAGATCCTGGCCTTGCAGAGGGTATATTGGCCACAATAATTTTTTTGGAGGGGTTATCTGCACATGGTTCGTTGATATGAAATAGCTTTTCAGTTTGGCCACAACTGTATCCCTGGGCTCTCCTGACAGTGTGGGCTTTTCTGACAATGTGGAAGAAAGGCATTGACAGCATAATTGAAAAGGGTAGACAATGATGTCTCAAATAATAAGTAAAACATGCAACAAAGTTGTAAAGCAGATCGATGAAAAGATTAATCTGTCAAGTAAAAACGATTCATCCAGCACTGAATTGAAAAAGAATGTACAGTTTATCAATAAAATCAAAACAGGGATGATTGATTGGCAGCCAGTCAACACAAAAACTAAGGACTTAAAGGCCAGCTGAGGTGTAAACATGGAATAGTCATATTAATATGTGCATAGTCCATTGCCTTGCAGCGAAAAAAAAAAAGATTGCCATTGGACTGACAGGTGACAGCTACAAGGTAGTTCAGAGCAGAGCGGAATGTCTATAATGGGTTAAAAAGCCAATTTCTGAATAGTGGACCCCCTGTGCTATCTGCATGTTGTAGATGGTATGACTCTTAAAAGGAAAAAGGTACAGAATCTAGGCACACACACCAGAACTTACCCAAAGCACCCAGCAAGAAGTGATAGACTTTACTAATATGTGTATCAGGTTGCAGCTCTCAGACACACCTGTGCAGTTGACAGATGAACAGGATTAGAACCAGACTGTGATACACAATCACCAGTCAATATCAGATAAGCAAAATGTCAGGGTAGCTGTCTAGCATGTCTAGTCAGTTACAAGCTGTGGTTGGTAAATGGAGAAATGAGAACATAGAAAACAACATGGACTGGGGCTAGGAAATTAACCCAATACTCAGGCAACAGATGTTGGTCAGAGTGGAGCTAAATAGGGAGTAGAGACCAAATGCTAAGGCCTGGTTCACATCAATGCATTTTTTTAGTGCTTTTTGCTTAGTGCAGAAATGCACTACAGTCCATTTAACATTGTTTCCTATGGGACATGTTTCACATCTGTGCTTTTTTAAGCTGCTGCGTTTTTGGAAAGGGTCAGAGACTTTTTTAAATGCAAAAAGCAGCATTTTTGCTACAGTAGAGTTCAATGGAGAAGATGTTGAAATCCATGTAGTGCATTTTTACTGCGTTTTTACCGCATTGTGGGTGTTTTTTTTTGCCCACGAACAAAAAAAATTCTCTTTTTAAAAAAAAAAAGCTGAAAAAACGCAACACGCGGTTAAAAAAAGCACCAAAAAGGCATCTGTAAAAACGCAAAGCACAATGTAAAAAGCATTTAAAAACGGATCAAAAGCATAGGTGTAAACCAAGCCTAAAAGAATGACAAGCAGCAGCACATCTGTTGTGTCAATGGTCTCTCACTCAGAAAGGACAGAAACTTGGGATTTGATTGTCCACGGAGTAAAGTGCTGGCCCTTACCCAGCCATTCTGCCACCCTACACTACTATTTTATATATTTTTTACACTCTTTACAGATTAGCATCTTTAAAATCTTTAAACATTTTTTTTCTCTTGTAAAGCTCTTTGTTTTCACCTACAGCCATTCTGTCCCTGCCCATCTTGTTTGTGTAAACAAGATGGTGCAGGGATGGCAAGGCTGTAGGTAAAAAAAACTTTAACCTCCCTAGCGGTCTGATTATGTCTATATTTCTGTGCTCAAAGCGGTACACATTTTTTTGCATGGAATAATGTATTTTTTTTATTGCAGGCCTGTAATTTTTAGGAATAACTCACTGACATCTGTCCGACCAAGAGTCTAGTAAACATCCCGGGTATGATAAAACTTGAAACACGAAATCATAAATCATAATTTAATAAATAATCATAAAAAATAATAATATAATAATACATTTAATTCAATAATATAATCAAACCGAAAACACTGAAATTTGAAATAGAGCGCCAAGTTCGTACATTGCTGAGCAAAGTCGCAAAATTGTTTTCAGTTTCTGATGATGAATTTCCCCACGAATCATTAACACTCAATTCTGCAAGTGGTTCTAATTTACTATCGCTGTTCTCTAGCTGGTCTAAAACCGCTTTTGACCTAAAGGGATGCTTTTTAGGCGCCATGGACATTTCTCAGTTTCCAGGTAGAAAGGACAGTAAAAATGCAGGCAGGGCACAGAACAAAGCACTAGGGACAAAATGTATGTGAAATGGTTTGATGCAGTAATGTTTTACTATGAGATTTTAGTGATTTTAGTGAATGTCACTTTTGTCATTTTCAAATTTGCTGCCGTTCCGTCCCCGTACGTCCCGACGCACTCCCAGGGGACGGAACCCAGATGACACATGTCGGCATCCGCCGGATTACATTGCTGGGGACACTGCAGGAGGGACATCGCGCGGGAGCGCAGGACAAGGTAAGTGATCGAGGGATCGAGGAGCAGCGCTGCATGGTATTCCCGAGTGTAGCTCGGGGGTTCTCGCTTGTGGTACTGAAACTTTACCCCGAGCTACACTCGGGAATACCTCCAGGGAGGCTACAGCAATCATATCATCTGAATTAAAGGCAGGACATGACTGATTTTTTGTGTTGCCACAAATGTATATACTTATAGATTGATTGTGCTATGGTTCTGCATCTGCATATTACACTCAAACCAAGATCTAAAAAGGATTGATATGGATACCATAGCTAAAGGTCTTGAGAGGTTTTCAAAGCTTACTTTGTTGCACCCGTTCACATGGCGGTCAAGCATATCAAAGCTCATGAATATTTTCTGATTGCCAAGGCAGACATTACTCCCTTGTTGATAGAAGAGTTTGATGAGAATGCATCACCCGACTTTGCCAAAACAATCCAATCCTTGAGGCAGAATAATCTTTTTGTGTTTTTGGAAATTAAACATTTGTATCTATTTATTTAACTCATTGTGTAAGGCCTAAGTGTGTTTAGGAAGCAACTGAAAAACTTCTATGTATAACAATTTTGCCTTATGGATGTCTTCAGCATTCACCCAGGCACAAAAATTGTCACTAAATTGTTTGTATTATGATTATCTCCTATGCTCATCAGATCCATCTAGTGCCAATAAGGGGATTTTTTTTATATTGAGGTCTCTCCGAAATATACCACATTGGGGTTGATTTACTAACACTGGAGAGTGCAACATCTGGTGTAGCTATGCATGGTAGCCAATCAGCTTTTAACTTCAGCTTGTTCGATTAAGCTTTCACAAAAAAAACTGAAAGCTGATTGGTTTCTTTGCAGAGCTCCTCCAGATTTTTCATGCTCCATTTATAGTAAATCAACCCCATTGTGTTCACTGTATTAAGCCGATTATCATAATGGGAGTGATTTACTAAAGGCAAATAAACTGTGCACTTTGCAAGTGCAGTTGCTCCAGAGCTCTGCTGACTTCCATCATCCAATCATGTGCAGGAAAAAATGTATTTTTTTTTAATTTTCTTTGCATGTGGTTGGTTATTCTTTGTAAAGTGAAGCTTTTCTGCATTCACTAAGCTCTGGTGCAACTGCACTTGCAAAGTAAACAGTCTATTTGCCTTTAGTAAATCAACCCCTCTATATACTGTATAATACAGTAAACATTTGTTGTGCCTGTGTGAATGCTGAAAACATCTACAGGGCAAGTTCTATATATATAGACTCCTTAGGCTTCTTTCACTCTGCTCCCTCTTCAAAAATGTGTTAAAAATGCAAATACGTTTCTGAGTGCTAACATAAGGCCACCTGCACAGGAGTGAGAAAAAAGTGCAGCTTTAGAAACAGTTTCCTTTTTCATACCTCTGAACACAACTTTCATACCTCAATGCACTGTTTAATTGGACAATTATGTGACAAAATGAGGTTTAATGTTGATAAATGTAAGGTTATGCACTTGGGGGCTAAGAGTATGCATGCATCATACATACTGGGGGGGGGTACAACTGGGGGAATCAATGGTGGAGAAGGATCTGGGAGTTCTGGTAGATCACAAGCTTAATAATGGCATGCAATGCCAAGCTGTGGTTTCTAAAGCGAGCAAAATCCTCTTTTGTATTAAAAGAGGTATAGACTCCAGAGAGAGATATCATATTACCCCTGTACAAGTCATTAGTAAGACCTCATCTGGAATATGCAGTTCAGTTTTGGGCACCAATTCATTAAAAGAACACTGGGGAACTGGAGAAAGTGCAGAGAAGGGCAACTAAACTGATAAGAGGCATGGAGGAGGAGATCAGCTATGAGGAAAGATTAGAGGAACTGAATTTATTCTCTCTTGAAAAAAGGAGATTAAGGGGGGATATGATTAACATGTATAAATACATCAGTGGTTCATATAGTGAACTTGGTGTAGAGCTATTCATCCTGAGGTCATCACAGAGGACAAGGGGGCACTCTTTACGTCTAGAGAAAAAGAAATGTAATCTCCAAACACAGAAAGGTTTCTTCACAGAGCTGTGAAAATGTGGAATAGATTCCCTCAAGAGTTGGTTCTGGCCAGCTCAGTGGATTGCTTTAAAAAAGGCCTGAATTCTTCCCTAGATACACAGAATATAACTGGATACTAACATTTATAGGTAAAGTTGACCCAGAGAATATCCGATTGCCTCTTGGAGGATCAGGAAGGATTTTTTTTCCTTGCAGGAGCAAATTCGATCATGCTTTGCTGGGTTTTTTGCCTTTCTCTGGATCAGCTGTGGATCCTATGACTATAGCTTTTTTTTTGTAATGGCAGAACTGGATGGACTTTTGTCTCTTTTCAGCCAGATGTTTCCCCGAAAATAAGACCTACCTCGAAAATAAGACCTAGTACTATTTTTGGGAATAGTTAAAATATAAGACCTACCCTGAAAATAAGAACTAGTTGTGATCAGGGCTTTTTCTCAGTCGGAACGTGGTGGACCGCTGTTCCGCCACCTCCGGCACTGGCCCTGTGCACACCAATATCTACTGTCTCTTATAAACAAAGAAACATGGCTTTTGTGTTTGCAAGTGACAGTCCCTCTTGTAAGTGACAGCACCATCCACTCCCACAGAACTTCCCTACCTCTTTACTCACTGTGGGACAGGAAAGGAACAGATATCTGAGGGCGCAGTGTGTTTAGGAGTGGGGCGGGGCATCTCGTCCTTCAGCCTAATGCATGGAAGCTGATACTCCCGGGTTGATCACCAGCCAGTGGGGAAGAAGTGGAGCGGTGAGTGAGTGCGCTTGGTTCACTGTGTGGAAAGATAGGACCTAAAACAGGAGTTTCTATAGAGAGGGGCTGGCTGCTGACAGATGGGTTTTGTAAGGCTAGTTAAGCAGATGGGGGCAGTGGAGGGGGATGGGGGGATGTGCTAAGGTGAGCTGCAGTCAGGTGTTGCAGAGGTATATTTACAGGTGAGTTGCAGACATGGTGCAGAGGTGAGCTGAGTTGCACCCACCTCTGCACCCCACCAGCCACAGCTCACCTCTGCATCTCCTGTCCGCAACTCACCCCTGCACCCTGTCTGTGGCTCATCTATGCACCCTGTTTGAAACTCACCTGTCAATTCACCTCTGCAACACCTGACTGCAGCTCACAACTGTCATCAGCTGGACCTCTCTATAGTAATCAGGGGCGGACTGACCATTGGAGCACTCGGGCACTGCCCGAGGGCCTGGGGATAGTAGGGGGCCCCATGAAATGCCCTTGGTACCTTTTATAGGCTTTTTTGGGTGTACTTTGAGTGTGGGCAAGGACACAGGGGCCCCATGATCCCCTATTGCCGGGGGCCCAATGAGTTGTCAGTCCGCCCCTGATAGTAACCCTTATCCACAACTGCCTGCAGCTCACCTCTGCAGTCCCTGTCCACACCTGTACATTAAAAAATAAGACCTACCCCAAAAATAAGACCTAGTGTTTTTTATTGAGCCAAAAAAATATAAGACAGTGTCTTATTTTCGGGGAAACACGGTGTGTAACTCTATATCAGCAAATGTGTCCAGGCACATTGGGGAATTTAGAATCAATTTAGAGGCAAAAAGAAAATGCACCAAACCTACGTTCAGAGAGAAGCATAATGGCATTGTTTATGCATATATGCACATAAATACACACGTATGCTCAGAATATCAGTTTCGTGGTTAGAAAAAAATGAATATTCTAGCCACTAGAATGAAGTTGCGTGCATGCCCCTTACATTCATTGACCTATGTAAATACATGCCAGATCAAACTCTTGACAAAAAGATCCAGCATAAATGGGGTAATTTTAATACACCCGTGTGCATGCAGCCTTAAACAAACAATGCACCAATAGGATAGTCAAGAAGGCATTATTGGCAATGACAGATTAAATTTAATGATGATAAAATTAAGGCTATGACCCTAGAAATAGATGAAATCTTGCGAGCTGCTATGATATCTATTGAACTATTGTGCCAAACTAAATAAATATAATAAAGTTAAATAAAATAGTAGATCACTCAAACCATACACATACCCATACAAATGTGTCAACAATATACAAATAGAAGAAATTAGTGGATATCACCTAATATCCAATATATGTGTAACATACTTCTTGACTTATAAGTCTCTTCCAAAATAAAATTAAAACATAATGTCCAAGTGACATCCCTGATAATGTGCTCCTGTACGTGATATGGACAAATTGCTTGATTCACCTCTGATGTGTTATCATAACAACCAATCGTACACCGTCACCAGTTGTGCTCTCACCTGATAAATATGACCAAACCGTTAAGTGAGGTCATATATAGCTTGTGTCCCCCGTGTGGACTATGGATGCGTAGAATAATAATCCTAAAGGGTCGGATCCCCTCACTTCTTTAGTAGTCCTCCTCCATTGGTTCATATACCATAAGAAATGATCAAAAGCATAGTGTCTTATCCTTATTTAAAAACATTTATTTATGCATTGTATTGCACTCACATGTAAATGATATAGAAAACGCTGTATCAATATATTCCAAACGCTCGCTAGCGATGCAGTATTGCATACTTGCTACTGTCTCTCTCTCTCTGTGAGAATCGTGGTGTCAGAGACCCTCATACTTAAGTAAATGAAGTGAAGGTAGATGGACCCTAGAATTATAAAAGGTTTATTAGCATTGCCTATCTTCCTTAAAAATGAGAAATGGCCCCTTCCTGACCAGGCCATTTTTTGCGTTATGGCACTGTTTTATTTTGATTGACAATTGCGCAGTCATGCAGTGCTGCACCCAAATTAAATTTATGTCCTTTTTTTCCCACAAATAGAAATTTCTTTAGGTGGTTTTTGAATGTCTGT